GAGAGAGAGAGAGCCACTTGTGCAAGTGGTCCATTTGAGGTCAGGAGTTCAATATTTTTACCCAAGTTTCGAGAGAGATAGAGAGAGCGAGAGCCACTTGTACAAGTGGTCTATTTGAGGTCAGGAGGTTCAATTCTTGGCCTATTTTTGCCCAAGTTTCATGCCTGCCTTTTATCGCACCTACCACATAAAAAAAATAGTAAAGAACAAGGGAAAAAGGGCAAAGGGAACCACATGATTTTAATTGTATAATTGTATTCTTTTGACAATGTTATGAGTACTCATAAGCAAGCTCTCAAAGAAGTGGCCAAAATCACTGAATATTCCCATGATCGTGAATACCAACAAACTTGGAAGACACCCACTTGTAAATGGGGCCCATTTTCCGGGGACAATGTCAACCATTTTACCAGCTGCGTTTACTTTTGTTGAATGGTTGTCTCCAATTTTGTCATATGTGGGGTGGATTTCCTAATTATTGGGTATTTTTGCTGTTTTAAAGAGAAAAGCAGAAAATAGGTAAATCAGCTTTGACTTTGTAACCACCGCACTCCGTGGATACAGACCCTCAAACTCTTAGTCAAGTTGAGCTCACCAGATCCTTATTTTTATCTTTTATTTTTGCAGCAATAGTCAACTGTTGTCAGAGCAGGTTCCTGTGAAAAGAACTACTGATCTCACATATGACCAAGTTAAAAATAACAAGAAATAATGTTTGGGTTTTCTTTTATATTTCAAGAAAATCTTTAAGGAGTGGAAGCCCCTGGAAGAGAACTTGAAGCTAGGGTCATTTCCAAATAGACAGTGGGCATTTGGGTCATACAAGAAACATCAGTATGCAAAGTCAAAAAAGGTGGAGACATGGGGTCATTCACAAATAAGAAATTATGGGTCTTGTGACATTTCCCCACTTCATTTTAGTAGTGGGTTGGTGGTTTATCTACTTATTATGCGGCCACATTTTTCTGTTTTGAGTCTGGCTATAAATCCTCTGCATTTGGGTAATGTGGAGGCAATGAAAGATGGTAAAGTTTTCACAAACACGGGGAGATTTATAGGAGGTAACAAAAGGGGCCTCATGGGAATCTACAAAGATAGGTCAGCTGACAAGGTTCAGCTGAATATAGAGGAAGAAATAGAGGAGGAAATACAGGGGCTTATGAGAGTTCACAAAGGTGGGTTAGTTGAGAGACTCTCACCCTTATTCATAGAAGTTCCCCCTGATCTAGATGACCCCCTAGTGGTCTCCAAAGATGTCGGCATAAACCAAGAGAAGGGCACTTGGGCTCGAGTTTATCTCCCAAAGCACCACGCAAGGAGAGAAAAGCTCCCAATTCTAGTCTACTTTCATGGAGGTGGGTTTTGCTTGGGAAGTGCAGCTTGGTCGATTTATCACTCCTTTATCTCTCACCTGGCCCGTGAGATAGGTTGCCTAGTGGTCTCTGTTAGCTACCGACTGGCACCGGAGTGCAAAATTCCTTCTCAATATGAAGACGGAATTGAAGCCTTGGAGTGGGTTTCCCACCAGAAAGATGCTTGGCTAGTGAACCACGGAAATTTGCGGCGAATTTTTATTGGTGGTGATAGTGCTGGTGCAAACATAGCCCATCATGTGAGTTTAAGCGCTCGTGTTGCTCTCAGTGGGTGCCTTCTCATGCAACCATTCTTTGGTGGTGAGGATGTATTAAGATGGGAAGAAGAGATTGAAGACCCTGCTCTGCCCCACAAATGGGTTGATACCTTTTGGAAGTGGGCCTTGCCCGAGGGTGCCACGAAAGACCATCCGGCTTGTAACCCTTTGCTAGAATCACCAAAGTCTTGGCCTGAGGGACTTCCTATTCTTGTTCTGGTGGCTGAGAGGGACTTAATGAGAGAGAGAGGAGTGATATATGCAAATGCCATGACTCGTGCAGGAAAGCCAGTTCGATTGGTGGTCTCTGAGGGAGTTGGGCATGGGTTTCAAGTCTTTCAGCCTAATTCAGATGCTATACCCAAATTGTTGAGACATCTTGGTGAGTTTGTGAAGGAGAACTCGAAGGGGGGTCGAGGGCATGGGCCTGTTTCCTCGTTGCACTTTGGTGCTCGGCCTGCTAATGGTATACATGTTCTTAGAATATAATATGTAGCAAGCATTAGTTGCCGTTAGCTGCCGAGCAGCTGAAGCCGTGGTTGCCTGAGTTGGGTATCTGTAAAGAGCCATTGTTGGCTTTGCCTTTTCTCAGTGGCTACCAGTAAGGAGCGTGGCACCATGGTTGTGCGTTCTACACTTAGGTTAGGTGTACCCTCCCCCCCTCCCCCTTCAAAAAAAAAAAAAAAATTTAGAATTATAAACTTGGTCTCTGAATTTTTAGGATCTCTATTAGTTATTAGAGATTTGGTCGAGTTGTACTGAATTTGGATATGTAAATCAGTATAAATATAAGTAATGATCTTACAAGCATGCGATGATAAAATATCAGACTTGACTAGAAAGGATCCAGGAACACAATTTCTCATTGATGCCTTTTCCTTTAAAATTTCTGGAGTTTCAAAGAAAAGCTTTTAGACGAAGCATTTTGGAAGTCTTATGATCAATAATCTTCTTATCTGGGGAGAGCTGAGGTTTGCTTCAATTTGGGTGTCACGCACATTTATTTGGTTGCTGTTTTAAGGGTATTTTGGTTATTATGAAAAAGATGTGGGCCGATTGTGGGTGATCAAATTGTTCAAGAAATCTATACTTAAGCATGTTTATGCAAGATGGGTGACCTAGGTAACCATAGTTGCACTTACCAATAATAATAATAATAATAATAAGACAGTAAAGGAAAAAATACGTTATGTACCATGGGATTTTTTTTTTCCAAGAAAAAAGATGACATGGGAATGACTATAAGATACAATTAGGGTCATATTTGTTTAATCAGCTAACTTTTTTGTTGTTTCAAAATCTCTTGGGGCACATTGGGATCTTGAGGGTGTAGGATCCATCACAAATAAAAAGTATGAGAGGAAGAAACTTCAACACCCCTAACATTTTCTTAATGACACCAGTTATTTTCCAGAGCTGCCCCAAGTTTTCTGAAACTGGTTTTCTCTGCTTTATATCAAGTCATCTTCATTCTTGAGCAACATGATCAGACCAACCTTTGTTTTGATGAATGCTGGTGACGGCTCAATTTGCATTGTTTGTTTGGTGTGAGACTGATATGGATGCTGATGATGAGGAAGAGGTAGAAATTGGAACATGAATATCATTGATTCGTCGATCCTTACAAAAAGAAATAAGCAAGACTCCATTGTTGAGTGACAAATAGAAATTTCATGAAAAATTGGAATCCCACCACGTAATAGTGCACCTATACATCTTCATCGACGTTGTTTTTCGACCGGAAGATCTAGAGCTAACTATGGAGACTTTGAGCTATCCGGACATGTACTCCGCGAGATGGTTCATACATGCTTGTTGCCGAGGGCAACAAGATTGAGCTGGTAAAGAAAAAAAAAAAAAATCTTTCAAATTTCTATGAATCTCTATGATCATAGAAGGGCCGAGTCTTTTTACCATTATGTATAAAAGAGCTATACTATTTATATAGATATGGGAGGAGGCACATCCAATCCCTGTTCGTACATTAGTAGTACCCAGTTTTTTTGCCCTGGATAGAGCAGTTTGGTAGCTCGCAAGGCTCATAACCTTTGAATCGTGAGTTCAAATCCTATCTCCGCAAGTAATTTTTTTTTTTTTTTTTTTGTAAAAAATTCCTTTTTGGATATTACTTTGTCACCTAAAATTTGACACCTAGTAATTAATCGGAAGATGTGAAAAACACAATATGTGCCCCAGCCATATTGTTCCTCTTTTAAATTCCCTCCATTATTGCCTTCGCTATTGATGGATGGTCTCTCTCTCTCGCTCTCCATTTTCTGTTCTAATTCATTGTTACAATCAGGGCATGTTTGATTTTTGGAAGTCTTAAAAAGTGGGAGTTGAACGTCACAAAAATCCTACTTCCATGTTTGATCTCACCGTGTGGATTCTGCTGCATGGAAGTGTGGCCTTCTACATGGCAGTTTTTTTAATGTCAAATTGAGGCCCGTTTTGGAAGAACGCCCTTCCATCAAACATGATGGAAGTGCCGTCTTCCATAATTTGTAGGAGATTTCATCCTACTTCCAGAATATTTGTGCAACAAACGTGCTCTTAGTGTTTATTCGTCATAGTTCTGATTCTTGTTTCTTTCATCTCTCACATGCAGACACATTCTCTCTCACCTGCGGTCACATACAGACATGCATACACATTTTGTTATTATTCATTATTATTACATGCGTTTATAGTAGGAGGTTTGTATACTCATTATAATTATATGTGTTTATAGTAGGAGGTTTGTATACTATGAGACCATTTTCTTTCTTTTTTAGAAAGAGGTCCCACTTACTCCTAGTTATTAGATATCAAGTTGAATGATTTGGGGTGTATCATGAAGTTCGAGAAAAATATGTTTGAATTTTGAGCCTAATCAATGACAAGATTATCATCCAATTTGAAATTTAAAGGACAAGAATAATTGTGACCTCTTTATGCTAAAAGTAAATAGGCTCTTTGAATATTTTCGACATTGTCCACTTTCTTGCTATTTTCATCTCTCTCTACAGGGGGGGACCCTTGTTCAGCTTCTTAATGGAAATTCAGTTAGTGCTGGGTTGGAACCCATCATGTTGACTTGCATGAGGACTTTGAGTGGTTAAATTGGTGGGTGCCTTTTGATGATGCAATGTTCTTTTTCTTTATGCTTGCTTCAAGCACACAATGGAAGAATTTTAGTGGCCCTTTTCTACACCTACAATTAAACCTTTTATTCCTCTCTCTCTCTCTCTCTCTCTCTCTCTCTCTCTCTACTACTACTACTACTACTACTATAGTAGTACTATAGTTACTTACTACTAACTAACTAACTAACTAACTAACTAACTAACTAACTAACTAACTAACTAACTACTAACTATAT